AATATAGTAACTCTGTAATTTGATATTATTCTTATGTTCGTACATCAACGATTTTTTATTTAATGCTGCATTGCTTGTTTATTACTGTATTCATTTCTACGTTAACATAAAAATACGTAATGATGTATGTGATTTTTTTCAGACTATTTCTTTCAAGTGGCTTACTACTGATATTCTTCAGTAGTCTCGTCACTGCGACTACTTCCGAGGAAAGTTTCGAGACGGTTCGTACAAGCAACGCGGCTGTTCTAAACCGACTTGGACTGACACCTCTTCAAATACCCGATGGGCATCATAAGAAGCGATTAGCCGGACCTGAACCACCGGGACTCAGCTCGCAAACGCGCATACATCAGCCTTACAGTCGTCGTCATGGACACCGTGACAGCCACGTTTACATTGTGAAACTTCCGGCTAGTCCTCCGTACTATACCTTTACGAAGCCTCACAAATCCGTCAACGACGACAAAGTTACTAAGACCGGCCCAAGTTTTCCGATGGGATTTCAAGGAAATGGTAAACCTGCCAAGATTTATCATTGGAATTTACCGGTAGTAAAGAAAATGATGGAGAAGAAGCGTCTTCAACTGAGTCAACTAAGAATTGACGCTAGAAAAAAATTGGAGGATATGAAGAAACAGCAGCAAACATCTTCTACAAAAGCCATACTGAATAAGCTTTATCCGCTCGATACAAGTAGTAAGAGTTATGAGTATCGCGCCACCGATAACCAACTTCATTTGCATCAAAAGCAACCAGTGACGAAACACATGAGAAATAATGACAAGAGACTCAGCTATTCGAATAGCGACAACGACAATATTAAATTCAAGTCGACGAAAAAGAATAACCTTGGCAACAAGGCGTATAGATTAGACGATATGAATGTGCATAGGATCCACCTGAGCAATGAACTTCACGGCTCAAGGAACACTGTGCCAAAGATGAAAAAACACCGGAAAAAAGCTGCCACTTCATATTATGCGCCAATCGCCACTAAGACGGGTTCCACTAGCATCCACAAAAACTTTCCCGGAAATGGCAAACCTAAAGCTTTCTACATTATGGAGAAGAGTCGCAAGCCAGTATACTATCATCCTCTTCTACCTTAATCTTCGATTGTTCGTATAACTGTGCATAATCGTGTAATATCTTAACTGGCTTGCCTGCCTGTTAGCTTAAGTAGACGCATACTATTCTGTTTGTACAGGATCAGGAATCGCCATTCAAATTGACAACGATAAAATGCAAAAAAAAAAAAGGAAGAAAGGGGAAGAAAGAAAAAGAGAGAAACAGAGACTTTCATGCCTACATTGCATATAGTCATTCTTATTCAAGATAATGCATTCCGCAAATTGTTCCACTTCTGTTAAATATACATCGTTATTATATCTTTACTTATAAAGGCATTAAGATAAGTAAATATTAGAAATGTGCAAACATAAGTTTTATTATCGCATCTTGTTGATAAATTCATTTCTTCGTACATTTTTAATTTTTACGTCATCATACATATTCAGGTAATCCATTCTATTATTGTGGCGAAACAACAGTCAGATATTATTTATATTTTTACATTACCTTATTAGCTGACAAATGGATGAGGAATTTGAGCATATCATATTTTCACAAAACATATTTTACATCTATTAATATAATAATCGGTATCAATTGTATCTATATAGACATCAAAAATTTCCGCAAAATGGTACTAAATAAACGTCTATACATTTATTTCTTTTTATATAAGAATGTATTATTTTAAAAAGTAGTTAGAACAATTTTTTTTAATTTTTTTTCTAATTGTTATAAGACTGAAACGTCACTAAACGGGACTTTTTATAGAACATTTTATTAATAACTTTACTGCTTTATATTTTAAAACGCTTTTTTTAATCATGAGAGTTTCGCGAGAATTTGTCGTTACACGACAAATATTACTTTAAAAAACAATTACATTACGTAATAGAGGAAGATGGCTGAATTATTTCCGTTATTTTAGACATGAATTGAATTAAAAAAAAAAATCATGTTGCAATTAGAAAAAAAATTAATGTTAAATAATGTGCAGAACTCCTTTGACGGAAGCTGAAAGAGCGATAGTTTAAAAAAATTCATTTGAAGTTTAACGTAATGTTTAATAGGCAATAAAATGTGAATCTACTGCTATGTTCTTGACTGTCAAAGATAGAATGCACGGTTTGTCTTTCAGCACTAAAAACAATGATCTCGCGAGGCCTACAAAAATCTGATAATTGAGATATTTTTTTAAATGTGATTTCAATATGACGATTGATTTTATTGTAAGTACAAGTATATGAAACTTACGAATAAATACTTAAAAAAAAAAGCTGAGAATAGAACAATTTGTTGTTTTATTTATGTGTTTGCGGAAACTTTCGGTGTGTTATGAACTTAAAACATGATAGTATTATGGAGATTATGACTGAATGTTCCATGTCTATCCTGCATTGGATGGCTATTTACACTATTTACACATAATATAAGTATTGATTAAGCTATTACTATGTGACATTCAAATTACATAATATATATATATATATATAACGTAGGTTCTCTTTATCTCTTTATTTACTTTTTTATTTATATATAAGATTTAAAGAAAAGCAAAAAAATATACTATGTATTTTTATTTAGATTAATATAAGGATTTTATGTGACATTGATTTATTAAGGAACAAAAAGATTAATATCTTTTTATAGAGCTTCATTTTAAATTTAATTAGTGCTTTTGTTTTTTTACTCTGATAAAATGTAAGATTATTTTTCAGTATACGCGATCGCCGAATGATTTCTTCCCGCTGGAAGATCATGATCTTATAATCAAATTCTCCATTATTGAATTAACATTGTATAATATATTTTTTTATAAATATAAATATGCGAGCATATTATCATATTTCTACACGCGCGTCCGTCGTTTGCGTATAATCACGTAAACGTGATTGATCCGTGATCGAGTATATCGAATACTTAATCAACGTAAAATGTTTCCATATAACTATAACAGATTTTTCATTAAGACTGGACAATACGCATGTTTTTATACAACATGTAAATTTTTCCTCCTACGTGAATTAACGTGGAAATGTTTTGTGTTGAATATATTTTTTTCTATATTCTAGATATCGTGAGTAAGTGCGCTCGATTGTAATGAGGCGTATATATTCAGTGTAACGAATAAAGATATTTATAACTCTTTGTATACTTTGTTTTGACAATTACATACTTAAAAACCCAAGTATCTGCATTTTTCGTATTTAATCAATATTTTGGCAATGCTAATCTTAAAATGCTTATTTGTCGTTATTATTATTTGGAAAAACTCTATTTCTTTTTATACGCATAATAATAAAAAGTTACTCCAAATTTAGATTTAAATATTTATTTAGATAATTTC